ACGAGGTGGGACGGCACAAACTCGAACTCCAGAAGAACGATATTCGCTCTGGGGCGGAAAAGTGCGGAACGCGATGAATTTGCTTGGTGCGGAAGAGAGCTTCGACAAAGTCCGAGACCACCACGGCTTCAGCAACAAGTAGACATTACGCAGGAAGGATGGCACCAATGTTCGAACACAGAAAACAGCGACTCCGACAGACTGACTAAGACGAGCCAAGTCACAAACATTGCGATGTGCGAAGCGACAATTTTAATGACGCGGAGGAAGTATCATGTATTACAGTCTATGCACAATTGAGTCACGCTGTATACATTGGTGTGTGCTGTGCTTAGTAAAATTCTAGCCTGGTCGTTCTTCAGCACCCTACAGTACTGCACCGTGTTTTACAGAGTATACAAATGTAGCCGCCACTGGAGCATAAGCCGCAACCAAATGTTTTGTCCCGAAATCCAGACATCTAGCCTATGTATCACTGTCAATTTGACCATCGTAGCATAAATAACACCGATTCTTGTTTGTTGAATTATTGTTTTTTAAAGTGAGGCCTATGCTGCAGAATATATGGTGCACGTGTTTTGAAAGCTCAGTTCCCACTGAGCCACTTCCAGAACTGCTCGATATCGCCAGGGTGAAGCTAAATAACACAAGTTCGCAGTGGAACAAGGGTAAAGATTGTTGTTCCTCTGAAGTTTCGTGGCGATTAAGCCAATCATTAGACAAAAAACATGTTTTATAAGGTCAGAAAATATCTGCTCAGGGGAGATCCCAGAAGTTGATACTTTTTGATGTTTGCTGAGTCAGAAATAGACGGTAGATATCTGTACATGTGATAGTTGTGCTCCAACCGTCCAGCAAACTACAATAAAACCTCCGAGTAGGTTAGCATAACAAGTGACTAGCAATGTTTTGCCTCCAATAAGGCCATCATTTTTTATAGCTATGTTTCGCGTCGTCCGCACGCATACGTTTTGATTTTTTTCGGAAAAAAATAAAAAATAAAACATGCACAGTGAGTGTACGATAGTGCGAGTCATCAGTGTGGACAGGTTGCATACGGCGAAGCTGGGATTCAGAAATGGCCTCTAGCCTAGGCCAGCGTTGGTAAATCGTTTGTTCGGCATCTGGGAGCAATATTCTATGAGCTTACACCAGACCGCATTGATCGCCTAAGCTGAGAGGATGCGTCGTTCCGGAGCTCTTTGCACCGCTGCTGAAGTCTGAGTACAATATTCCAGCGAAGCATAGGCACCAACGGTTGCCTCCTCTGTCCAAAGTGAATATTTTACTCATGCTGATAACCCAGATGTTGTGCTTCGATGCACGATTTTTCTTTCGAATGTACACCATGCACGAGCTATTGTGCTATGTACAGTGCATACACCTCTGATGAGCCTTTTTTATTATTTTGCAACTTTATATTTTTTTCCACCTCTCGCATATGATTCTGGAAGTTGAACTGACGCGAAACATAGATATAAAAAATGATGGCCTAATGAAAATAATAATAGTTCGCATGTCACTAATGGAAGGATCCACGGGCATAACGCATCTGTCAATGAAATCCAGGCAGAAGAGCCAACAAAAGGAATCTCAATAATGTTAGAACGTATAGCAGTAAAGAATAGCTATGCAAGCGCAGGGCTTTTCCGCAAGCATCGAGATTCGGTCGGCCATGTGGGCACTTTTAACGTTCCGGGTGTGAATTGTCATCTAGCTCCAGTGCTTGGTAAGGCCCTGAGTTAAGTCCTTCAATAACAACATGGCCCAGCCAGAGCAGTCGACATCTGTGGCAGATAGTCCTGTGACTGGATATGATCACGTCGAGGAGTACACCGTGGCATTTTATATGTGGTGAGGATACACAGCACCAAGGAGGTACGCCAACTTCCTGGCTTGCCTCGGCTATAAAACGAGAGAGCTTGGAAGCTCAGGGCCCTACGCTATGCTTTTTTGCCTAGCTCATGCATGTTATCAGAACTGATGGAAATATTTTTTGATTTCCTACATCAAACTTTCTCTTTTGCACTCGAGGGTAATATGACACCGTCTACCACCTTGATGACCTAGGCAAAAAAAGCATAGGGATGTTATAAATTTTTCATTTCTCCTATTTTTTTCAAAGACATATCCTGGGATTCGAACCCACACTATCGCCCTGCATGCATTCTCCCGATACACTTCGCTTACATACTCATTCTTCCAAGTTGCTTCACGTTATGATCTTGCATTTGAAAGCCCTATTTGAATATTGTGGTCAGCTGTCTTTGATGGTCCGGTACGGTTCCATTTGCCGTTCTTCGGCCACAGCTCTCGCCTTCATCTCTGGTGCGGGTGTAATCTGGTGACTTCGTGCATGCGTTATAATAGGCCAATCCCTTTCTCTGGGTTGGTGAAAAGGGCCACTCGTGCAAGTCAGGGCATTTTCTTTAGGGCATCTAGGAAAGCTTGATACTCGCTGCTGGGCAACTAAAATATTGCTTGGCAATGGCAACATTCCTTGGCAACGGCAATATGCCTTAGCAACGGCGATAGTGCTTGCCGAGTGTCACACTATACCTGCAAAACGGTGTGTACGTTAGCGTAGGGTATCATATCACCACTACGTGTAACAGTTAGTGCTTGCATAATATTATTGCTTCTATGGCAGTCATCATCGGCTTTTCTTTTGACATTGTGCGCTTTTGTTGTTCAAGATTGTAGAGGTGGCTGGGTTCAGTTTGCAATGGACCTGCGTGGTAGATCAAGCTACGACGGACCCACAGATTTTTACATTTTTCCAGGCACATCATCAGCACGTCTTCCCACTTTGACATGTAAAATCGTATGTTTCACCATTCGGTCAATGGGGCCTCTTGACCCACCTCTGTCGACAGCGTTCTGGTACTTCAACAACGCACCTGTTCAAGACAATGCATTGTTCAGGATTGAACAGTATGACAGAGACCTTCGCGCTGGAAGTCCCAATGCTATAGTATACACCAGACAGATGCACTGGCCAGCAACTATCACTCAATCTATGGTCGGCACGTATGAATGCGGCTTTCGACGGCAAGGAGTACTTTCTTCGAGGACCACTGCAACTTTACATGTTCCCAGTGAGTACTGTATCATTATGTTTCTAGTGTTAAGTATAGGACCACGAGTTTCATTTTAGCGCCTCATTGTTCCCGCTCGTTCCTCATTCTTCATTCCATCTAGCCTATGCAAAGACTAGCCAAGCTTGCTTGGTGATGTCAATGCAAAAAGGTGATGTCAATGCGAAAATGATAGTTTTTTGAAAGGATTGGGAGAACTTCAAATTCAGTCAGTCAGGGAAGTGAACCGCCTAGAAATAGAATAATGCCAAACCCAACAGGACTCGAACCCGGGACTTTGCTTGTCATGATAAATGCTCTGAACAACTGAGCTAGGGGACCAGATTGAAACGAGAAAGCGCTAACAAGTTTTTAACTCCAAAGGCAGTTCATGATGCGTGCCACACATACTGATGGCACTTTGTATCTGTATGTGAGATTGGTAATATTTCTGTTTTATTACTGCTTCAGGGAAACATGGGTAAAATGCACTAGACTTGCAAAGGTCCTTGGTTTGAGTCTTGGTGGTGAAATTTAAAGGCATTGTCTTGGATTAGAACACTCCTATGGTTTGGTACTTTAGTTTCACAGCTCATAACAATTCTTCTTGTCCTTTGAGCACACCTTTGATATGCCAAAACGTTAGCTATTGCAGATGTGTCGTGCCCCCTCCTACCCGCCCTCACTAATCTTCTCATCCAACGAGAGTCTGTAGTAAGTGGAGACGGTTCCTTGCTTCTTGCCTGCTTCCCTTTGTTATAGTTGTTCCATACATTACATTCATCAGTGGATCCATGACTATCGTGTCCACATCATGGCAGGTGGGATCAATTGCCTTGGTGTGCAGAGCAAACGGCACGGGACCATTGAATATGACGTGGACTAAGAATGGAAGAATACTACCAGCATATAATGGTGCAAATGGTTGGACACGTAAGCTAGGTGATTACCTAAGTGTGGACGACTCAGGGATATATACTTGTACAGTATCTACACCCTTTGGAACTGCTTCAAAACAACTGACCATCCTAGTACAAGGTACAGTTTGAGAATAAGATGTTATTTTTATTATTGTATGGGAGGAAGTAAGGTGTGAACCCTGTGACCCAGTGACACCTTGTGACCAATTTAGATGTTAACTACAGTAAAACCTGGTGTAAGCGATCTCTGTGTTTAGTGACCACCTGCTCTTAACCGCCGTTTTTCCATGCACTGACAGTTCTTACACAGACACTTTGGGACCTGGTTTAAAAGACCACCTGGCTTTAACGACCGCTTTTGCTTGCACCCTGGGGTGGTCGCTTAAACCAGGTTTTACTGTATAGTATAGGGTATAGGGTATATGGTTTATCGGGTGTTAGCGGCCGTCGTGAGTTCCCTTCGGGAACGGATACGATAATTTACTTTTTTTAACTGTATAGTTTCCCTTGGGGTGCGTTCACACTTACGGGAAGGCCCAGTTGGCAGGACAGGAACACGCCAGCCTCGGGAAAATGAAACTCGCGTTCACATCTGCCGTGTTCGCCAGCAAGGGAAGTCGGGCATGAAATCGTTTGGAGCACTGAACTAGTCTGAAGTCAGTGAAGTCAGCACTCGTGCAGGGAAGTAGTATGAAAATACTGTTACATGATTGTACAGTCGTCCCTCTCTAATCCGGCACTTTATAATCCAGCACCCTCGATAAACCAGCACAATTTTCTGTAGCCAAAATGTCCTCTTCATGCACATTGCAGCAGTAAATCAGATTTGTTAATCCAGCACCCTCCCTAATCCAGCAGATTTTCGTGGCACAAATGGTGCCGGATTATAGAGGGACCACTGTACAACTCGAACCTGTACATAAACAAAATATACATCTAGTAGATCTACAAGTGCTAGCTAGCTATTCCCCGGCTCAAATAAATTGTGTCATTAGCACTTGTGAGAAAGAAGAGTTCTGGAAATGTGCTTGCTCCGAATGTTCCTACGTTCACTTCCTGGTGGACATGTTACATTGTGCGATAGCAGCTTTTGCTCCTGAGCAGGTCAAGTGGACATGAAGGAGGCATGAAGTTCAGGACAGTCTGGCACTGCTCGACGTGAATGAGCATTTGCTGGAGCTTCGCGTTGCTGGACTATTGTGCTGGAGCGCCGAGGATATCTTCCGCATGTTCACAATCCTCACATGTACAGAAAAAAGCCGTGTGATGATAGGACTCTATGGCACGTTTTCCGTATCGAGAATGAAGCGCTGAGGCAAGCGCTGAGACATATTCTCACCATTGCTGAGAAAACAAAAACTCCCCACACGCAACTGACAAACAAAAGGAAAGTACTGTAGTTCACTGCCGTTGCTTCCAAAAATCTACAATCGACCCACTACCTACTCACGCCACCATAGTTCTACACTACGACTACAATTGTAGTCGACTATGCAGTACCACTCTGGCGTGAAGCTTCCCAGCCCCAAATTTGAGCTGGGAAGATCCTCACGCCATCGCGTTCGCGGGAAGCTGGCGGATGAATCATACACCTAGTTTCGGGTTCAAGTGACCCTGCTATCATGACAACCATCCCGTTCCGGCAGCCCTTCCCGTGAGTGTGTGTGTGTGTATGTGAACGCACCCTTGCGTGAAATTGGCAATTTTGGGCTTTCTGAAAAACATGAGCCATGAGGAGCTCTCTAGTGTCACCAAAACACTTTGTTCTGCAGCGTTTGGAGTAGTGTTGGAGTAGAAGTTGCTGACTAGACGTCATGGAGGGCGAGCTTTCCTGTGCAGGTATGAGTTTGGACGTATTTCAGTATGGTGGCGTGGACAAATTAAAAATTGTTCATATCAAGAGAACCCCGAAAGGATGATGGGGGGACATGTCCTCAGTGCTTGAAGAGGTGTTCCACTATCTGCTGGGTAAATTTTGAGATTGTAGCTCGCTGTTTTATCAGCGCTTCAAGCCTTGTAATTTGGCTCTTTTCAAGTTGATCATTTTATGCCATCGAGGGATGATGACCCTCATCTTCTAGGATGCTGGCGTGGCTAAGCGGTGCTGCCCCTGGCTTAATGGAGTTTTGTTCGTAGCTTGTTCATGTACGCTGTGGTGTGGCTCGTTTGTAGACCCTTAATCATATGAATGTTTGACAATTTCGAGGGGTATGCCAATTTCAAGGTTCCCTTCAGCAATTTTTCAAGGGCTCTGCATAGTCGATCTACACTCCAAAGGAAACCTACCTGCAAATTTTGAGCGAAATCAGAGAGATCGCTTGGACAATTGTTCTGGTTTTCTCCGACATGCTCTCTTAAATTGCCAAAGCTACACGATGTGGACATTTGTTTCATGTACGGTGTTGAAGCACACCTCCTTTAGAGACAAATATCTTTTCTTTTCAGCATGCTACGGATATTTTTGAGAACTCTGTTTTGGTGCCTTTGAGACCAAAATGGTGCAGAATTTGATAATTAATGAGCTTGTTAAAGTTATCGAGGGATAGACATTGATTGTTGTATTTATCAGCTCAACACTATAGCTTGAAGTGAACAAAAGTAAGTGTTAGCGCACTCATACCTCGTTTATCCGGGACCGGGCAGTACCCGCACTGCCCGTAACTATGAAAAGCTCGTCACTCCAAAATCACATGCTCTGCATTATATTGGCATTGAACGCTCTTCTAACAATGAAACACTCTTCTTGATTATTTCTTTCATTGTCAGATATTCCCAGGTTTCTTGTTGCCCCTAGACCCGCACTCATTGTCCAGGATACCCTAAGCGCAACTTCGGTCACTCTCAATCTTCAATCACCATCATTCAAAGGAAATCTAATTGTCACAAGTTATAAAGTCATTTGTAAACCAGATGAAGAGTACAGATCTTATGTGAAGGACACTGTTCAAAGTGTTCCACTCAATACTGTCACAATTATTGGACTTCAACCAGCCACCAAGTACACCTGCTGGTATCATGCAGAAAATGCTGCTGGTCCAAGTGGTCCAAGTCCCAGCCTAAGACTGGAGACTCCCGAATCATGTAAGCTCCTCCCGCAATTTTTTAATGTACATTCAGTATTAAAATTTAATCATGATTACAGGTCCTCCCTCGTTGTAACGAGTCCGGTTAGTACATAAGTTCCGGTAGTATAATTATCGAATTCTGAAATCGCTAAGAGCAAAATTAAACTGGTGCTCATGTCAAACAACAAAGCTGCAGAGGTTTAGTTCCAGAAAGTTTTCACGTTTATCAATGGAATCTCGTGACTAACGGAAATGAGATAAACAGTGTTCTGAATTCTGAAATCCCCTCGTGAAACCTGGTCTATACAACTGTTTCCTGGTCTGTTTACTATATAATTCGTTAATACATAAAATTCGTTATAACGAACCTTGACCCAAGTCCCTGGAGTGCCAAACCTTCAGTTTAAGACAATTCTGTCCAAGCAGGACCAACGTGAAAACACACCTAAAAAAGCAATAAGATGTAGCATATTCTGACTGTGTATCCATAGATATGTACGATCTTTTGGATCTCTGGAACAGCCGTGATGGCCATTTTCAATCATCTAGTAACGAGTTGAAGTGGCCAAAAATTATGTTGTATTGAGGGTACTCCAAACTAAACTAGGTGCTTATGTTATCATGTGCTTGATGGTCAATGGAATGAAGTCAACTGATCATTAGGTGTGTGGAACTCAGCAGGCTGCAAAACTAGAACAAGACATGAAGGCCTACCTGAGTCAGAATTCACATTATTTCACCTGGAGTGTGTATTCTTTAGATCAATTTTTGCTCACTTTATACCCTTGTTCAATCCGCTTCAAACTCTGTGTACGTGACTGTCAGATGCAAACAACAAAATTCCAGTTTAAACTCGGATGGAGAGCCAAGGATTAAAATTCAAAAAGAGGACAAAAAGTTTACAAGTTATCCATTTTGTCCAACACTAACGGTTATAAGCAGAATACTGATGAGTCAAAAATGTGCAACAATTAGCACAAAACTGACTGATGAGATCATGACATTCAACGACCTTTTAAATCATGTCCAGAGGGCCAGCATGGTGGCAGGCAAACAGAATACAATTGACAGTGGCATGGCGAATGATAAGAACACAACACCAAAAGAACGAAAACAATTGTATGTGTAACCGGTACTATTTGGTAGGGGAAAGAAAGAAAAAAATTAAAGAAAAAACCCAGGAAAATACAAGGGCACTGTCCTGCCCACCATCATCTCCAAAACCTCATGGCCGGCCCTCCGAGATTGCCAACTCTCGCAATGCATTTACAGGACGGTGATATGATGATCGGGCACCGCGGATGCATATGATTGCCGACCGCAACAAATGCAAAAGCAAGTCGACACCGGACATATGTCATTGTCTCGGCATACAACTTCGTGTCCCCATTTGAAATGAGGCCACACAGGCGCTTGACAAATCTGGAGCACTCTGGCGCACAACAACCGGCCGTGGTGAAAACTAGTGGAGTGAATGTCCCACGGTCCACATTGATGATTCGCTCAGCATACTCCAGCTTCTTCTTCCTCTCATGCTCCGCCAACAGTTTGTCGAGAGGTTTGGTGGCATAGGACGGAGCATCGGGATGAAAAACCCGGACATTCAGGAAAGCATTCTGTGCCCTGGTCCACAGCCCTCGAGCCCGAATATCAGTGCGAGCATCGTTGGCGGTGTTAGTTGAGGCTGCCAGAAACACCTCTCCCGAAACCGGAGCAAGCTGAGGCTCGACAGCGACATCCGAGCAAACCTCAGTAAGTAAGTCGGCAAGAATATCGCGGACTTCATTGTGCCGAATGGTGGGGAAACCACCAATAGGGCAACACATGGCATGGGCCGCACTAAACGGTTGGCCACAAGAGCAGGTAAAAGGCACATCAACCAATGCCCAGTCATACCGCAACGTCACCGCATCCCTGAAATCTCCCTTCTACAGATGATATACGTGTTCTCTGATAGGCAGTGTGTCGAGCCAGCTAGAGACACCTCGGGAAGACAAATGCCCCAAACGACGTGCCATATTCCGCCGACACCGACCGCCGACGCCGACAAGTTGGAAGGCTGCTGGTTTGCGCATTCTAGACGTGATGCAGCTAAGCATCAGGTCCTTGAATGTCATGAAAAAACCTCATCAGTCAGTTTTATGCTAATTGCTAATTGCTAATTGTTGCACATTTTGGACTCGACAGTACTCTGCTTATAACCGTTAGTGTTGGACAAAACGAATAACTTGTAAACTTTTGGTCCCCTTTTTTTTAATTCCAGTTAAAAAACAATTTTGAAGAATTTGATATATCGCACTCAACCACATAAAAGTGCATGCCCTTCTATGCGAAAAATGCGTTTCTTCCAATTTTCATCAGGAAAGAAATGTTCCGGATACAAGGGTATATCTTTCAGTACGACTACTCCAGTTTTCCAAACACGCTCTTGGCTTGTTGAGTTTTTTCATGCCTTTATATGTGGAGGTGCCCTTGTATTCAAATATAAATGGATGCCCTTTTATGCACAGGAATACGGTATATTGTAAGACCAGACATTTTAATTCAATTAAAGTTAACAATTTTATTAGTGCAATTAGGAGTATAATAGATGCAGACATGGCCAGACAACAACGAGTTCATGGAATTTTTAAGGATTTTTATGTTATTCAAAATCGATTTTCGTGTTCCGCTCATCAGTGAATAGTATCGGAACTGAGGGTACTGTGTACAAAAATAGAACATTTTATAACAGCATAATTAAAAGTGTGAACAAAAAAGGAAGTGCTACAGCATTACATAATAGGTGTCAAACATAGTGCTAACATACTATAACTGAGTGCCGGCACAAAGCATGAGGTGATACAGTGCAACATGACACAACATTTACATCTGATAACCAGCTACGAGAACAACTTAAGCGCGACTACATGCTTCTTTTGTTTACAAAGAACAGAATCCTTAAAAATTCCATGAACTCGTTGTTGTCTGGCCATGTCTGCATCTATTATACTCCTAATAATAATAATAATGACAGTTCGCATTTCACTCATTGCATGAGGTCAACGCATCTGTTAACAATTTCGAGCCAAGCAGCTCTATCAGAAGCAGATTGCACAGCATCCAGAAGCGACAGATTAATGCATTGTAAGTCTTTCTTGACAACGTCGATCCATCTCAGACGTGGCCGTCCTCGGGGTCGTCGTATGTCTGTTGTGTTGATCGACATTAGGAGGGCTTGGAAAGAGGACGATTCTTCGCCTTCCCTCACTACATGGCCGAACCACAGCAGTCTCCGTTGCCTGCAGACTTGGGATAGTGGGGTCTGCTCGGTTCTGGCATACAGCGCTGTGTTCGAGATTCGTTGTGGGTACGTGATACCAATGATGGTACGTAGTTTCTTCCGGTGCCATACATTGACGACGTCGGTTAATGTTTGCGATAAGGTCCAAAGCGCACAATTATACAGCAAGACAGGCAATATCAGGCAGGAAAACATACACAGCCTGGAATTCAGGTTGTGGCGTTTCCATGGAATGCCTGCAAATGCCCGATTTGCAGCAGACACTCTAGCTGCTATGTCTTCTGCTGTGCCTATACTCCTAATTGCACTAATAAAATTGCTTTCTCCACGCCGACTCTAGTTAACAATCTTCGGGTTTTTGTGGGTTATTGAGGTGAAATTCTAACGAATTCCGCTTCAAAACCGGCAAATGACTATACAGGTCCATTATAGTTTTGTGTATAACGATCTCAAATGTTAACGAATTGTTTAATTTCGTTTAACCGTTAGAATTAAATGTTCGATAACATTACTGGTCTTACATATGTTAGGTACCACCATATGTCTGTTTTTGCTGATCGCGACTCAAATTCTGGATTCAAAATGAGTTTTCTTAAATTGCAGCTCAAAGACGATTATGTTTAATGAATATGGTTTAAAACTCGGATGTTGAGCCATAAATAAATGTAGAAAAGAAAAGGACATATGGATACGAGTTAAGAGTAACTCTCCATCACTGTAACTCATGGCCAGCAATCGAGGACATCTGAGAGTTGTAATTTTTGTACTCCTCCGAGGTGTGATTTTTGGCGTGCTGGGCCAAGCACAAGGAAGCTATCTGCAAAAAAACTGCAGAAAATGGTTGTTGTTTGATCCTTTGGTGTAATCTTTGTTTCTAGTCGAAGCTAGTTGCTGTTTGGAGCAGAAACGCTGAAATTGACTATTTTCTGCATGTACTCATTCATGTACTCATGTACTCAGTCATGCAGTCTCACTCGTATTTTAGCTCTTTTTCCGGAATGGATGCTGCTCTGCGCCCCTTGGTGACCATTTCCTGCGCTCGTGGAGCAGCTGCAAAGGACCACTGGTATGTCTGGCTCCTGGTTTGAAAGTGGAGAGTCGACTTTTGTGCCTTGAAAAAGGAGTAGAGAGCGATAAAGGTACGTCTGTGGCTTATTTTTGAGTGCTCCTCGCACATTTTTGATCATGATAGAAATTCTCAGACCAAAGTCAGACCAAAGTCAGCGCGATGATGGCCGTACAGTTTTCTTGTGGATTTTTTAGTTGTTTCATCTCGTATCTATGTCAGTATCGTGATGGTGAAGTGGAGAGGGTGATTTTCTTCCTCTAGGCTTCGTTCGGCCGACTTTGCTTCGTCCTCGTTGAAAAGTGATCCTGAAAAAAAGATTTGATTCGCAAAATTATGTTGATTTTCAATGTACGTGATGACATGCGATTGCTGGCTATGTGGATACTATATACAGTCAGAAAGTGCAATAACTAGGTACAAAACTGACAGAGTACTGAGACATTCGACGTCCTGACACCTAGCTTCAACACATCTCCGTGGCGCTAACCGACAGCTTTCCAACTTGGAAGGTTCAAGGTTATGAAAAGACCAAAGAGGGGAAGGCAAGCGCAACGAAAACGAGCAAAAGCTACAGTCCCAACGGAACAAAGAATGTCCATTGTTACTGGACGATGACGAGACCAGTACGATATTTCACAAAGCGGTCTAACTACAATTCAAAGCAACGAAGCAGCACACCACCCAACTTGGGTGGGTCATAAATATCAAAGATAAGTAAAGAAGGGGGAAGCTTTGCGAAAACGAATTGTACAAGCCGAAAGCCAAACTCCTACAGTACTCCTCATGCATGACATTGTGATGGACTAGTTGACTACAAAACAAGTGGTTTCAAACGACGTACGTTTCGCCGTATGGTTCGTGACGGCTCATCAGGTGTGCAATTTGAAACTCGGATCAGGGTCGAATGTCTCAGTACTCTGTCAGTTTTGTGCCTAGTTATTGCACTTTCTGACTGAATATAGTATCCAGTTACAGTGATGGAGAGTTACTCTTAACTCGTATCCATATGTCCTGTTCTTTTCTACGAATATGGTTTAGGAAAATTAATTTAATAATACTGGAAAGATTTAAAAAAACACTCAAGTAGAAAGTGTATGATTTATGGTGTTGTGTAGTTCTGCTACCTTGAGTGGATGAAGGGAAAAGACAAAGAAACTAATAAAAATGGACTCGGATTGAGAGCCAAGGATAAATTTATAGAAAATAAAAAGGACCAAGGAACTACAAGTGACCGTATTATGTCCACTAACACCACCAGTTACTAAACAATCAGCTCATGCGATAACATTGCGCGACACTGACTGCCGGTACTTACGTTCTACAACTAACTGGCTAACACTAACAGCTCTAGCACATCTTGGATGCGCACTCCAACAGCCTTCGAGCTTGGAAGGTTCTAAGTTATAGAAAGAACATAAGGAGGGGAAGGTGAGCGCAACCAAGAGAAGCAGCTGAAAGTCTCAGATGTGAAGTACATCCAATGATCTTGCCAGTATCATCATCGACATGCATGAACATCCGCCAACTTTAAAATGCTGGTCGGATATGTCACGCCTTTGTTTCAGGTCAACCACACGAAAGGATCCTCAAACTCTCTTCATGGCACATCAATATTCACTATTTCTTTACTTTTCAATACCAAATTGCCAAATTGCCAAATTGCTGGGCATGACTCAAACAGCATGGTGAAACAGTACAGCAAAAGATGAAAGATGAAGAAATGCATACAGTGACCCAATATTTAATGATTCCATGGTAAATTGTTTTAAGAGAGATATTCGCAGACATCTCTCCAGATCTCATTGAAATGTTTTGAATATTCAAAATGGCATAATAATTTTGGATCTGGAAGCTCATAATTATGACAATGAATGTTCAGGAATGTGTTTGCCCCCACACTGGAGCTCACGCTATTCGGCAGAATAGCGCTAGCTCCAGTGTGGGAGCAAACGCATTCCGAAACAAAATCATCGCCGAAGTCGCAACCTCTATTTCGTAATGAATGTTCAGGCAGGTTAAGGTAGCAGCCTGGTCGTAAATTTCATATGGCATTCAATTGACCGTAACTTTGGTATCTCTCAATGGATTTGAGTGAAATGTTCACCACACACTCGTGCCACTATGCTGGCCCTTTGGACATGATTTAAAAGTTCTTGCGCCTCACTGACAGGCTTCCCAGGCCGGAAAAACTCAAATTCCGGCATAGTGCCACGGTTGGCGAGCCACCCAGGAGCCAAAAAAATGCATTTACAATTTTTTCACATTTTCTTGCCCATTCTATCCGTGCGCGAGATCCAAACCTAAACAAAGTCCAGAAGCAGCCATGGGTGGTAGGATAGGGCCCTTCAACGTGGCCCTGGAATCTGTCACAACGGCAGGAGTGTGCGTTCTCTCACACACTCCTACAGACCCAAGTCAATTTTTGAATATTTTTAGGTTCAGGGCGTGCTACGAGGTCGTACCTTTGATTCAACATCCAGTGATGGGACCTCTACAGCAAGCCATTTCCACAGCGCTTCAAACCGAATCCAGGATACCCCCCAACATCGGCAAAGACTACCACTCACGTTCCACTACTGCCTAGGACTGAATCCTACCTGACTTCTTGACACGACTCAAACTTGCCAAAGTCACTCAATCAACGTCAACTACAAAAATTAAGCCACATATCTGCAACGTCACGAGGGTGCTGGCAAAAGTCCTGCTGCGCGGCGGTGGGCTTTGCCCGCCGCCGTGCAGCCCAATACGTGGTTTTAACGTGATTTTTTGGACTTGGAGCAACATTCTGCACACTTTCGCGTGTTTCCATGATACGACAAGTTGCGCACGGTCTGCTCACATTCAAATACAGTGCTGCCAACAAATGACAGCGTGCAACAAAAAAATCTTTCCTTGCAAGGGCACATTTTCGGCCATAACTCTTGAACGGCTGTTCAGATCGAAACAAAATTTTCAGAGATTTTGCAGCTGTTCATGCTCTTTCAACTGATGTAGCACTCGATATGAATTTACATAATTATTTGATTTTTCAGGGATTTTACGACCGGGCTGCCACCTTCAACACAATAGTTCCCTTATTACGCAAAAGGAAGTAAAATAGGGCTGTTTCGTTGTTACTCACAGTTTTATGGCAAAAAACAATCATCAGACAACATGAGTAACAACGAAACAGCCCTATTTCGCTTCCTGTTTTTACCTTTTGCGTACTACGCTCTGCCCATTCCGGGCATTTGAGCACTATTTCAGGTTAAGGCGCACTGCCTCTGTAGTTCCCACATTATAAATTAGAATGGGAAAGGAGCAGGAGAGTGCAGAGACAGCTTCTAATGGTGCTGGCCACACAAGGTGGTCATCCCAATGCCTGCTTACCCACCACACCTGACACACTGTCTTGGCTTTGTTGCCAGAACTATGCACTGGAAAAAGCAGACAGTGTCAGAGAGAGAGACCTGCTTTGTTTCCGTGTTTCCTGAATTTGTATCCCTAACTTGCAGCGGCTGCGGCACCCCAAGGCCTCACTGCTGTCTCAACATCCCCGGGTCATGCGACGATAGGGTTTAAGGTTAGGAAATCCCCTTGCACTCACACCTCATCCACAGCTAGTGCATCACTCAGGATGGTGTATGCTTACATTGTGTTAATATTGTTCATGTCCAAGCGCAGGGTTCTTTGCCCCCTCCCACCCCCCTGTGAAAGGTGTCGCCCCCTACCCATTTTCCAATGTTTCCTTTTTTTCATGCCATTCAGCGAAAATGCAGCCGATAGTCACTACTATAGGGTTCTTTAATTCTTACATCTGTCCGGGGTGAAGTCAGGTGTTCGCCCCGTACTTTGTATTTCGCATTGCAAGACAGTTATTTTGAAAATGGAAAAATAAGTAACGGGGTAACTGTTTTCCCTGCCCCCCCCCCCTCCCCCGTACCCCGTACTATTTAGACCTGGCTAGATCCCTGAAGTCCCTACTAAAATAAACAGATTGAAACCAAGATCTAGGCAGTTCATGGTGCACTGAGGCATTCGGTGAAGACTGAATAACTCTTGTGAGAGTGGAAAATCGATGCACAACATATCTATCTTGAAGAGCGTATGATTGGCATAGAGTGGATATCTTTAGGAAATGGTTTCGTTCTTTGCTGTATGAATAAAGCAAAGCTAATCCTCTATCACTGCTTCAAGTTGTTGATAATACTGCCAGTTATGTCTGTGTGTGACTCGTATCCTGAAAACCTGCAGCCAATGCCACCTGCTCTTTCCCATGGTACTCTCATTGGCTATGAGATTAGTTACGATGCAGTTGGGTGTAACAAAGTAGAAGATTGTCAATGTCAACTCTACAACTGTTCTCTGCACGGATCTATTCGAGTTCATGAAAGTGAGTACATGGTGCATACATGACTGGACCCAGCTTAAATGCAAGTCATATTCCATGTTCTGTTCAGCGCTTGTTTGGCACCTCCATGCATGAAACTGATTCGCACTGTCTGGTCAAGTGAGCGGGAAAGGCGGCAGCTCCGTCTTAGGGAGCAGCACACACTTACTTTCTTGAAGCTCTTCGTTTTGTTCATTCTATTATCTGGCTTCTTCTCTTGCGATCATTCTCTTTTTTGCTTTCGTTCCTGCTTCTTATCTATCTTCATTTGAATCATGTCTTTCTTCCCATATCTCTCCCACTAAAGGTTGGGTCAGCAACTCAATTTCACTATCTGGCTTGCGACATTTTACACAGTATCAGATTACTGCTGCAGCCATTAATGGAGTGGGTCTTGGTGTTAAAGCAAGGAGGTGGCTCATAACTCAGAAGCCAGGTAAGTACACAGTAATAAGCAAGGGAATAATGCGCAACTATTTTAAAGACAAGAAAATTGACAAAATATGAATATGGAAGAAAGGAGCAAAATGTTGCATGTTATCCGTACTTTGTGTCCAACAATGACAGTTATAAGCTAGATATTGTGTCGTCAGAAGGTGCAACAGCTAGCACAATACTGACAAGATCTTGCTTATAACTGTTAGTGCTGGACACAAACTACGGATAACATTTACTTCATTTTGCTCCTTTCTTTTAAGTTTAATCCTTGGCTCTCCATCCAAAATTGACAAATTTTTGAACCCTTCTATTCTCCGTCTCACAAACAGGCTCTTTGTTGCACAAAATTAACGAATAAAAGATCTGAAAAATATCAATTGTGCACTCATAACCATGTATAAACAATTAAAATGAAACAATTCCAGAACGTTTTCGTGTGACTATCATCAGTGGAACATCGTCACATAGTAAGAATCACTAAAACAACCAGTATTATAGCTAGGGTAATATGAAAAGAAGCGTGAGAATGCAGCACAGCTAGCGGTTATGCATAACGCGTGTAGTGTGAACCTTTGCAGTGTATCTGAGAATGGTAGCAGTAGATGAATGTGGCAGCTGTGAGTGCGTGTGGACAAAACTGGTGAGTGCGTACTATTTAAAAAGTGTGAGTGCTACAACATTTTCTGGTTACTATGATTGTGACGATGTTCCACTGATGATGGTCACACGAAAACGTTCTGGAATTGTTTCATTTTAATTGTTTATACATGGTTATGAGTGCGCAATTGATATTTTTCATTTCTATTTTACGACTGTTGTCTCCTCGTCGGTTATTTGAATAAAAGATCGCCAATAATTCACCCCGTTGGGCGTCATAGGGAAATTGATAAGCAAGAAGAGGCCAACAAGAAACATAAATACAGCCAGACAGCCAGATGAATATTCTAGAACACACAAACACCATGTACACAAAATTTGTCAGAAAATGTCACAGTATATCCTAGAATATGCATGCAGTGTGGTAATGCTGAACATGAAAAGTGTGAAAATATACAAGTGAACAATTATGAGCTGTGCTGAGGAGCTCTAACAGAGCGAAACAGTTGCTATCCACAGATTTGAGTTCAAGTGAACAATTTGAAATTTATATGCACAAATGACGAAACAGTTCTGTCTGAAGATGGATTAAATTTATGACAATATGGAATTTTTTGATTTGGTTGGAGACTTGAATGAGATTCCACTCAATTTTTTCCTTGTTCTTTTTCTCCAATGCAGCCCCAGGACCAGTGAGGAATTTGACAGCCATACCCATATCAAGCTCTGCACTGCAGGCAAGATGGCAAGCACCAGAAACAACTTACGGTGAGTATTGTTTTCAAGAGCATGGTCTGTAGGTCAATAAACCCCAATGTATGGTTGATCGATATTCAAATTTCCATAGGGCTCGAAAGTGATGACGTCAAAAACGGCCAGGGAGTAGTATGTTGACATCAGATTTCTATTTTGGATCCACTAAGGTGTGACTTTGCTATTGCCTCAGTATGTGGATGCATAGCAGCCCACTCATGTCGTATGCAGGGGTGAGTGACTTTTACTTCACCACCAGTTGTAAGCCCGCCCCCAGTAGCCAAATCAGTCAGTTTCACTGGCGACATCACCTTGCTGTGAGTAAGACGGCTTGAAATGTGCTTAGATCCATACAGAAACTGGATCCAAGTGGATCCAGTTTTTGAATTTCTGAAATTGTTGCTATGCTGTGACGTAGCACTTTCAAGCCCTATTATTATTGTCGCACTAATGTAGTTAAATAACCGACGAGGAGACAAGTCGTAAATTAACAATGAATAAAACTAATTGTGCACTCACAACCATGTTTATAGTAAAGACAAAAGGACCAAGAAACTACAAGTTACGCTCCTTGGCTCTCCATCCGAGTCCATTCATAACCTTGTATAAAAAATTATTGAAATGAAAAATTTCATAACCGCAATCAAAATGACAAGCTGAATCGACATTTCTGTACACTTTATTCATGGAATGTAAAACTGTGGAGACAATGTGCAATGAAACGATGTAAATATGAAGAAATAGTGTAGAGAAAATAAGGATTCAAACAATTTTTCGTACAACACTCATCAGGAATCGTCTTTGTACTAAAGGACACTGAAAACAAAATTGAAATATTATATAAAATCTAAGTTAGAGAAATAACACTAAGAACTACAGCAGTGAAATTTACAAGTGTGATGATTAACAACGAAAGCGAGAGCAATCACGAATGCGTGTGCTAACAATAAACTTGCAACTGAAAAATGAAAAAAGAAAAGAGAGAAAGAAGGAAGGACAAAGTGACAACAAATAACAGCAGTATATTATACCTAGAACATTACGGGCCAAGCTTGGCCACACCAAACACGACACGTTTTACTGCACATTGTCTCCACAGTTTTACATTGCATGAATAAAGTGTACACAAATGTCGATTCAGCTCATCATTTTGATTGCGGTTATCAAATTATTGTCTCCTTGCCGTTTGTTCATGAAAATTTTCCAGAATGTTTTCTCGTTACTATTATCAGTGGAACATCGTCACATAGTAAGGATCACTAAAGCAACCGGTTATATTATACATGTAGCTAGAATAATAGAATATGATATGGAGCGTGAGAATGCAGCAGCTCGCTAGTAGGAAGCGACGAGCGGGTTCTGTGCCAGGGGGCGCCCTGGTCCCAAAAAATGGGGTATTATTGAAAAATGGGGTACTAATAGTACCCCATTTTTGCGATGAAAATTATTTTTGGCCCGGTTTTTTTGCGGATAAAAATATGTGCCAGGGGGTGCCCCTACCTCAAAAAAAGGGGGTATTATTGAAAATATGTATTGGGGTGTTATGCTCTACCCTAAACAATAAGGTAATATGGTGTCATGATTTGGAATTCTGCATGTATCATTAATTTTGATTTTTAGGGGTGGGTAATATGTCCAGCCCTACATCATAATATTGCATTCCGATGTCTAAAATATTACTATTTCAAATGTCAATGTTATCTCACTTTTTCCAATTTTATATTAATCAGAACTCATAGTTTTGCAGTATTTTGACTTGTAATTTCAATTTTTCGGATCATTTTCCGGCCTGGTAGGAAGAGAGAGAGAGAGAGAGAGAGAGATAGAGAGAAGATAGCACCCATTTTGTTCACCCAGGGGATGGCTCACGCCTGGTAGGAAGAGAGAGAGAGAGAGAGAGAGAGAGAGAGAAGATAGCACCCATTTTGTTCACCCAGGGGATGGCTCACGCCTGGTAGGAAGAGAGAGAGAGAGAGAGAGAGAGAGAGAGAGAGAGAGAGAGAGAGAGAGAGTCTAGCAATCAAAGATATCTTGAGAAGGTACTACCCAGGAGCGCTTCCTGGAAACTTCGATGATTGGAGCTGTGTTCGAACCCTGAATCGTCACAATTGGTTCATCCAGGTCATCATCGGCCTTGCGCTTCCGGCTTACTACATAATCACACGAGACTTCCGGCATCTTCTTAGGATATCCTTCATCGTCGATGTCGATCGTGCCGACACGCGCAACAACACGGGTTATCCTCGTCGACATCACTGAGAGGCGGACAGATTTCGTCGTCGCTTGTGAATCCCCGTCTTTTCGAAAGACCTTGCGATCGTTGAGATCCTTGATGACACGGATGAGTTCCTGAGCTTCGATCTGCTCTCCATTTGCAAACGTCTCTTCGACAATATCCAGAACACCTGCAGCCTTCATCACGTTGTACATCGATCTTCGCCCGTCGTCCCAGCAGCGGAGCAGTCTGCCCGTATCTCGCCATGATGATGATCCATAATCCTCTACACCATCAACAACGATCTTCGGTAGACGCTGGTGTTTCTCACCGCTCACGAGAACGCGCGTCGACACCCTGCACAGATACTGTGCAATCTCCATGGGAGTCAAGTCCGTCCGATCCGGGTGAAGAAGCATGGGTCTTAGCTCGTAAGCTGTACCCAGATCGGTGAGTAACCGAACGGTTAATTCATCTTTATTACTACAAGAAAATAAATAAAACTTCTCTACATACGGTTCGGAGGTTGACCAGGCCGACATCTTTGATCTGGTAGAGAGAGAAATTCTGGAGACGGTACTTGATCATCCAATGGACTCAAAAATGAATTGTGATCCAAAAATGAAATTATATCAGGTTTTATAGGTCCCGCCAAGTCCCGTCCCGCCGGGTCCCGCCTCCGGGAAGGTGACGACCTTGGAGAACACGGTGAACACGGTGCGCGCCAAAAACCAAAACGTTGCTCGCGACATGCCGTGTCTTTTTTGGTTCGGGTTTGGAATCTTTCCATTGACATAAGTCAATTAGTTTTCCATCTATGTCCGTAATCGAAAGGTCCATGAGGTGTAGAATTTTTCTAGCTTTCCTCTCGTATAATTCTTTTCGACATACAACAATTCTTTCTCGAACTTTTAGCTGCTGGAATACCGGATTCATCTTGACCTCAGATGCACAGATCATGCATCCATGCATTGACGTCACAGTACATCATTGCAGCACTGATTTCACTGTGAAGTGTGGAACATGGGTCAATGCGCGATAAAAGGATGAACGTGATTTCAGCGGGAAGTGCGCTAATTGGTCACATGTTTTCAGCGGGAAGTGCGGTAAGTGGTTAATTGTTTCCAGCGGGAGATGAGTGGATTGGTTAATTGAAAAACAACCAGTTATTCCGAATTCAACTATTACGAAAACCCTATAAAAATAGATCCTCGGTACCTTGTCAAGCCATTGTGTGGTTGTCCGCCACCACCCCTGCTCAGGATGGAACCCCTTCGGAAGAAACCTCGTCAGTCTTTTGATGTAGTGAGATCATCTGATCTGTTGCAATTCTTTAGTTATTGTCCTGATCAAGAGTTTGCAGATGTACTAAAGTTTTTCTCTCATGTTCTACCGTCGCTGGAGCTGCTTCTTGAAGAGAATATTGAGCAATGGGGTCAGTACAAGTGTTCTTTGGTAGTTCAGGTGGTGATGCAGAAGCTGAATCCTGCTACAGGACAAATGGTTTCCAACACATTCTTCTTCCGATCGAGTACAACGCTGGTGCTCAACACCATGGAGCTGAGGGATCTTCTCAGTAGGATGATTGCTCAGATCAACGCTCGTCTTGATGATTTCGTTCGTCATGGATCAGGTTGGGTAGTTGAACGGATTTCCTGTTTACACATCGAAATGTCACGCTACTGTGTACTTGGAGGAAGTTCGTACATCCCCTTGCCACCGGAGTTGAAGTCGAAGAAGGCCATTGTTAACGTGCAGAACACTGACAACAAGTGTTTACTGTAAGTATAGCAGTGGGGTTTCAGTGTGGTGATACGGTGTATGGATTGAACTGTATGCCGCCTGTCCATGTCTTATGTCATCCGTACTTTAGATGGTCAATACTGGCTGCTAAATTTTCGGCAGACAAGTCTCATCCATATCGTCAATCGTCGTACGCAGAACATGCGGATACTGTGGATGTGAGCGGCATCGAGTTTCCAGCAAAACTGGAAGACATACCAGTCATCGAAAGACTGAACGACGGTCTTTACATCAACGTCTTCGGATATGAAGAGAAAGTCATATATCCGTTAAGAATTTCTCAGCAACCGCAGACCGCCATCAATGTATTGCTCATCCAAGACGAACGCAATGACGTGGAGGTGCAGCACTGGGTGTGGATAAAGTCATTCAGTCGTCTTGTTGCTACTGGAGCACGTCGAGCACATTTTGTCTGCTTCAGATGTCTCTCAACACACGTCACGGAGAAGGGATTGAATAATCATATGATGTACTGCAGTGAACATCCTGAAGCTACGGTGGAGATGCCAAAGGCTGGTGATAGAGTGATGTTCAGGAATGTGAACAAGCAGCTTCAAGCCCCATTTGTAAGTAGAACACTTAATCAAGGTGAACACACTGTGGTCTGTTTTTTTTTTTTTTTTTTTTTTTTTTTTTTTTTTTTTTTTTTTCTTTTTCTTTTCTTTTCTTTCCTGCACATGTTTCTTGACTCTGATTGTTCACCTTTCTGCTGTTTTACTCGGTGTTGTCTCTGCAGCTATTCCTAATTCTCTATCTATCTTTTCCGCTGTTTTACTCGGTGTTGTCCCTGCTGCTATTCCTACTTCTCTCTCTCTCTCTCTCTCTCTCTCTCTCTCTCTCTCTCTCAAATGCAGGTGATCTATGCCGATTGTGAGGCCTTCATAGAACCTCTGTCCGCTGTCAAGAAAATCGGTCATTCGACATTCCAAAAGAACAAGCATGTAGCCTGTTCCTGTTCGTACATTGTAGTACGATCTGATGGCGTCGTCACGAACCGTTTCTTCTACCGTGGAGAAGATTCTATGTTCT